CTCCTTAGGAATTTTCTTTAATTTTTTGTTTCAGTGCTCCTCTACCAATTGTACGAATGCTTCTTCAATCCTCAGACTCGACTGTCCTATTCATTTACCAGGGCTTCATCCTCCCCCAGTTGACTGAGTCCCCTTAAGTAGATGTTGATAGCAGTACCTTCCCACTTCAGGTTTGGGGCAAATTAAACAAATAAATGGAGGATAACAGGCTCATCTCTGGTTTCCAGTATTCCAATAGATCTCTCTGGATGCTGAAATTCACAGCTATACAGACATCACTTGCTTGTGCAAGCTTTTAAGAACAGTATTTGGGTTTATCTTTCCATATTATGTAATAGATGATATTTTAGATACGGAATTTTGTCACCCTGGGTTCCTTAGTAATCCAGAGTCCTTGACTAGCTCAAGATATACAAGTTGAGTTAATAATAAATACATCTTCGCTATTATGGAATTTGGGGTTATTTGTAATGGCAACATAGCCTATCCTATCCTGATTGACCACCAATTGTCTGTCAATCGGTCATATTGAGGTGGTTTGTGTGTTGCTGTGATGTTGGAAGCTGTGTTACTGGTATTTCAAATAGCACCAGGATAACCCAAAGTGAACAGGTTTCAGCAGAGTTTCTAGACGAGGAACAGAGTATCAGAAGGAATAGAATGTCCAGTGCTGAGGAATTAGTCACTGAAAACATGCATGGCAGTGGAGTAATGTCCTTATGGAAGCAGCAGTCAAGAAATCAAACAGCACATTACATTGGGTAAATCTGCTTCACAAGACCTCCTTAAAGTGTTGAGAAGCAAGTGTGTTATTGTGAGGACTAATGTTCACCTCACAAAAGTCATGGTATTTTCAGTCACCTCACTTGCATATAAAAGTCAGTCATTGAACCAGGAAGACTGGAGAAGAATAGGTGCATTTGAATCATGGTGTTGGGGAAGAAAATTAAAAGTACCATTGACTGCCAACAGAACAAACAAATCTGTCATAGAAGAAGTACAGCCAGAATGCTCTTTACAAGCAAGGATGATGGCACTCCATTTCATGTATGTTAGAAGTGTTCTTCAGAGAGACCACTACCTGGAAGTAGGCATCATGGTCTATAAAGTAGAGGGCAAGGGCAAAAGAGGAAGGCTCTTGAGGAGATGGACGAATGCATTGTCTTCAGCAATAGGTTCAAACATAAGAACGATTGTGAGGAAGGTCCAGGACCAGACACTGTTTTGTTCCGTCGAACAGAGGGTCCTGAGAATTGAAATGGACTCAACAGAACCCAACGGCAGCAGCAGCAGCACCTAACAATGACCCTTCTGAATCCTAGTGACATGGCAACCAACATCTGTTCCACAATGGACAGCTTCTTACCAACATCACGTTACTTCCAAAATATCCTCACGCCGTGCCTCAATTTCCTGCAGGGATCTTTTAATTGGTCTTTCATTTTCTATTCTGACACCTCTAAAGTCCATTCTCTAAAGAGCAGTCAGCCTGTTAAATAACAACTGGAGCGTGTCATTTCAACATGTCAACAAATGAATTATGACATTCTTCTATCCAAAATCACCCGAATTTCCCAGTAGACTTAGAATAAAATTCAGTCTTGCCTTGAATAACAAAGTATTATGATCTGACCTTTGTGCATTTGTCCACATTTGTCTCCAGTCATTCTTTATCCAATCACACGAACTTGCTTACCATTGCTTAAGCAGAAAGCTCATTATTTCCCAAAGGTTTACCTTTTTATGTCTGTGTGCAATCTTCTCTCTCAAGAACTCTGTGTGGCTTGACTTGCCTTACCTATGATATACTTTTTGCAAAGAATTATCCTCAGAAAAATCTCTACCTTATCTAAAATTGCTTCTCCCAACAAATTACCATCCAATTACTCTGACTTATTTATAAAACAATCTTTGAACTCTCTTGTTACTTTATCTCTTATTTGTTTACATTTTGTTTTTAGACTGTAATAGAGTTGGTTTTTCAGTGATCTTTTTCTAGTGTCTAGAAACTCTCACTAGCGCTGCTCTCTCACGGCCATCGAGTCAAGGCTGACTCACAGAGACCCACTGAGGTTTTCCAAGACTATAACTGTTGAGGGAATATAAAATATCAAATGCACCTATTCTTCTCCAGTCTTCCTGATTCAATGACTGACTTTCATATGCAAGTGAGGTGACTGAAAATACCATGACTTTTGTCAGGTGAACATTAGTCCTCACAATAACACACTTGCTTCTCAATACTTTAAGGAGGTCTTGTGAAGCAGATTTACCCAATGTAATGTGCTGTTTGATTTCTTGACTGCCTCTCTGGGCTGCAGGTAGCTTTGAACTGCCAAACCATGCAGATCACAGCCCAATGCCTAACCACTGCACCACCTAGGCTCCATTCTCTAGTACATCATGGCATTCAATACATATTTATTAAATTAGTGATTAATGAATAAATATCTTGCACAATCAAGATGTCAAAACAATGCTGCAATGAAGAGAAAACTGATTAAGAAGCAATACTCTATTTTTCCTAATTCCTTAACTGGTTTTTTTTAGACAGAAGAAACCATGAAATGAAAGTAATACTAGAGTGTTTGTATTTCATTTATGATTTATGCATTCAGTAAAATCTGACTTGTTCAAATAAACTTGTTTAAATAAACTACGTACGTATTTAGATAAGAAGTCTTTTAAAGAAAATTCAGCACCAAATAATGTTGACAGTTGCTGTGACAACTTCATTCTGTTGACCAACCCACTCTCACTACCACTGAGTGAACGCTGACTCATCATGAACACATGGGACAGACTAGAACCGCCCTGTTGGTTTCCAAGTGCGTAACTCTGCAGGAGTAGAAAGCCAAATATTTCCCCATGTTTATCAACCCAGCTTATCAAAATTGTCTACAGGATACTTAAGAAATACATTTACAACATTATCTCAGAGGCAAAGCAGTCAAGAAAAGAAACTGAAGCAAATAGCACTTGGTAGGAAAGACTAGGCTAATGTATTTCAATGAAAAATAATTATCTGAACAGTTTAACTGGAGTGAGTTATTCCGTAAAAATTGTGGATTTGTACCAATCAATTTGCTTAGCTGTCATTGAGAGAACATTCTACACCATTGCAAAGTAAGTGGTCCAGGTGAGAAGCATTTGCTATGGCCAAGAAATATATTGAAGGTCCTATACACATCCGACCACAAAAGCGGGGTCAGACTATTAGCTCTGTAACTCTGCTGTCATGAACATATCACTTCCATTTTAAATGCTGGATGAGAATGAGAATAACGTTGTCTCCCAAGCACTGTCTAATGTTACTATAAAAGATAATAGTAATGTACATCAGAGAATTTTGAAAAGGGGTTATTTTAAGTTGTATTTAGTTTGTATTTTGTTTTATAATTCTTATTCTTTTCTTTTAAGGTGGGCAAAGCTATCTTCTAAATCGGTCTTCATTTTTCATAGATTTTAAAGGAAAAGAAAATGTAAACACCGGAATGCATATGGTCTTTGCTTTTACTAGAAAACAGCATTGTTTTCGCTTTGTTTAAAATGTAGAAATTAAAGAAATGACCGGAGAAAATGTCGATGTTTCTTTAAACCCACAAAGGCAGCAGGAAACATTTTTCATATCAGCACCGCTATCAGCTGTTTCTCTATGCAAACATTATGGAATTCTCCAAATCCTACCTAAGGAAGACACTACAAGAAAACTGAACACAATTCATATAGAACTCATATAAATATCTGAAGAGAAAAACAAAAAGAAGAAAAGGTACAAGACTGGGAATTTCATTAAACCCATTTGTTGTTATACTATATGGATTACCAAATATTTAAAACATTAGGCCTAATGAATGGTGCCTCTTGCTTATCTTATTTGAGTAATCCTTTAGTCATAAAGGTCTTCCTAACTAAGAATAGTCAAAAATATTAAAGACAGCCGGCCTCTTCTTCTCTGGGAGTGGCGGCATCCTCACACCAGATGTCCCCGCAGTCCCTGAGCCCCTTCTGGAACTGCAGCTGGAGCTTCATCACGTACCACCAGCGGCCTGCTCTTCGATTTAGGCCAAGGCCGGGGCTCCCCTACCTGCAGCTGCAGGTGCTAGAGAAGCAGGTTCGGCTCCAAGGGGACGACGGGGCAGGCAAGTACCTCACAGTGGTGGCAGTCCCCAAGGTGCTGTGTGGTGGCCGGTGGCACCGCCGAGCAGTGACTAAGGACAGGGCCTCAGTCCGGCTGGAGGTGAACTCCAAAGGCAATGCCACCCTGGTCCCAGCGCCGGCCTCGGCCCTTGCCACCCTCAGGCCTTTGTACCTGGGCAGCCTGCCTGAAGTAGCGGGCGCACCCCCACCACCCACGGGCTGCTGCAGCTGCATGAGGAACTTTCTGGTCAACGGACACCCCATCAAGACCCAGTCTGCCTCCATCTGGGGGGCGGTGGTGGGCCCGGTCTCATAGTACGGAGCTCCCAAGGACAGGGCTGGCCCTCCCACAGACATGCTCATCTCTGGAAAGGGTGTTTTTAATGAAAGGGTAAAACGGGGTTTTTGTATTTTCTGTCTCTAACTGGTTGAACAGGGACCTTTCCTTTCACCCCTAAGGGGGGGTGAGCTGAGCGCCACAAGCCCGCCGCTGGAAATAAAACCACTGTGTCATGGGATGAAAAAAAAAAAAAAAAAGGGTTGGTCACGATGATTTAGTTATCAATAATCCAAATATACTCTACTTTCCGACTTATAACGTCACTTTAGGGAAATGGTTAGTTTTAAGCAGATACCAAAACATTACCATATACCAAATACCAACAATCCTTATAAGGAAAACAGCATAGAATGACCGCTTATTATTATTATAAACGAATTCCACCCTGTTTTCACGGTTTATACAATGCACAGTGCCAAGAGATAAAGCAGAGAATCTGGTGACTGTCCACCTGCACAGTCAAAAGCAACTGACCGATAAAACCGCAGCAGTCAGCTCATTAGAGCAGAGCTTTCGTCAATCAGACCACAAACTGGGAAGCATAACCTACTAGCTTTGGCTCAATGACTAGGTCTATCTGACATCTCTGTAACCAATTAGTTTTTCACATTGAAGGTCATGATACACCATCTTGAATGTTGACTGTGGACTGATGGCGGTGTTCTCCCTACCTGGTGGTGGTTCTTGGACAGCCATTCCTTAATGGTGCCGAGAGCAATGAGGGCAGCGGGCTCGTTTGGGAAGCCTAAGTGAAGAGCATAATAAACAAATGGTCAACAACAACAAGAACAAAAATGACAATGGCACTAGAGAAGTCATTCATGCCATAAGACACTCACTCCTCACTTAGTGACATGCTTAGGTTCTAATGACCAAATCATTTGATATGAAACTTGACCCCAACACAGCACTCCTTTACTTATTTACCTATTTCATGCAGGGTCCCTGCCACCACCACTTCCTCTCCCCCACATGGACTCCAACCCTGTAAACCAAGGAAGGCTTTCCAGTCTATGAGAGAGAGCCAGGATGGCTCAAGCGGTGCCCGCACCGCACTCCCACTGTATCTGGTGGGTCCCCCCTTGCTTTTCCCCTACCATATTTATACTACGAGTAGCCTTGGCTTTGTAGGGTATAAAGGCTTCCACTACTGCTTCTACCCTGAGCACCTGCCCGCTGACTTGGCAACCCTGGCCTCTTCTTCTCTAGGTTGCGATGAGGATCAACACTCCAGAGCTTCTGCTAAGGCTATGACAGCAGCCAGAACTGGCCTCTGCCCTCAACTATACACTGCCCCTGCTGGCCACTTACCCACTGACACCATGTCCACCTAGGTAGCTTGCCCTCCCTTACATATATATGTCCGTCCAGCAAAGGACACTGGAGAAGCTTACGGAGTGGCACAAGTGCCCGTCAGCTGACATGGGGTCATTTATATACTATTAAGCTTATAAAACATTTTAAAATCATTTTATCATAAGTAGTACTTAGCTTTGCCTTCAATTTACAAACTAATGAACTATGGTTCAGAAAAAAACAAACACTTAACTCAAGACTATGTGGTCAATGATACTTCTGGAAAAATCATTTGCTAAATAGTCATACCACTGAATGCTATTATTAGAACAATGTCTGCTCTTTGTTGACCCCCAGAAATTATGTTTAGGATTAAAACTGAAGCAACTGTCTTGATTTTGTAGTAAGAACTCTGTTTTAGAAGTGCAAGAATGACAGACATATGCTCTTTGTAAGCACGAACACACTTATTCAGAGTTCCTAATAGACACCCAATATATCCTTTAGTTTAAACAAACTCACCACATTTTCGACCTGCCATTGAGTGGCTGTTGACTCAAAGCAACACTATAGGAAGGGTGGAACTGTCCCTGTGAGTTTCCAAGACTGTCACTGTTTACAGGAGTAGAGCACTGTCTTTCTCCTGTGGGGCTAATGATGCTTTCAAACTGCGAACCATGTGGATTGCAGCGTTACGTAACCCCCATGCCACCACATTCTAGAACAAAGTCATCAGACATTCTTCTAACAGAATAAACATATTTGAAGAAAAAAAACTACAAACTCTATATTTATGGGGCTGAAGTACTAAGATATGGGAATGAGTCTTCCATTGAAACTTTTCAATTAAAGTTCACCTCTGGCTTTACCAAATTCTATAGCTTTTAAACCCACCTTAATTCAAGCCATGCTTGATTAGCTTTTCATGTTTAAATATTTCTCTCCTCATAGTGTTCTTCTCTTTTCTTTTTAGTTTACTGAAAACATATTTTCCAAGTGTACAGGTCAGGTCAGTGCTTTTAAGTACGGTTGCAAATCATGACCATAAATTAAAGAACATTTCACGCTTCACAAAGAAAACAGTGTCCCATTAACTCAGGCGATGATATTTTCAATTGCCTCATATGCATGTAAAAGTTGAATGAGGAAGACGGAAAAAGAATTGATGCCTTTGGATTATGATTCTAGCAAACAATGCAGAAAGGACACCAGAACTGCCAAAAGAACAAACAAAACTACGTGTTGGAAGAAGTACAGCCAGAATGCTCGTGGGAAGCAAGCACAGTGAGGCTTCTTCTCATGCAACGTTACCAGGAGAGACCTGCCCCTAGAGAAGGACATCGTGCTTGGTAATGTAGAAGGGCGGTGAAAAAGAGAACGACTCTTGAGAAGGTGAACTGACACAGTGGCTGCAACAGCAATAATTATGACGCTGGACAGGGCAGTGTTCCCTTCTTTTTTAGGGCCACATACAAACAAAACAGCCTTCTTCCTACTTCATTTTTTAATACTATAAATCACTTTACTGGGGGCATTTACAGCTCTTATAACAATCCATACATCAATTGTATCAAGCACATTTTTACATATGTTGCCATCATTTTCAAAAATGTTTTCTTTCTACTTGAGCCCTTGGTATCAGCTCCCCCATGACCCCTTGATAATTATTTTCATATCTTACACTGTCCACTGTCTCCCTTCACCCACGTTTCTGTTGTTCGTGGGTGGGAAGCGGTATTATTTGTCAATAATTTTCTCCTTTCCCCTCCTTTTCTTGCCATCTTCCCCTTATGCTCATGGTATCTCTACTCCCATTACTGTTCCTGAGGGGTTATCTGTCTTTGATTCCCTTGTGAAGAGCTCTTATCTATACCAGCGTACATGCTCTGGTCTAGCCAAATTTGTAAGGTAAGACTGTGGTCCTGATAGTGGAGGTGGGGTGGGGAAGGAAGCATTAAAGAACTAAAGCATTAAAGAATGTTGTGTGTTTTGTCGGTGCTATACTGCACCATGGCTGGCTCATTCCTTCCTTGTGACCCTTCTGTGAGGGGATGTCCAAGTGTCTACAGATGGACTTTGGGTCTCCACTCTGACCCCACTTGTTCACTTCGATATGAGTGTTTGGGGTCTTCTGATGCCTGATACCTGATCCCATTGACACCTTGTGATCACACAGGCTGGTGTGCTTCTTTCATGTGGCTTATTTGTTTGACCAAATCTTCACTGGATTTTTTTTCTTCTTTTTTGTAAAATTATTTTTCTAGGAACATTCATTAATCATGACATTCACAACCTAAACTCGGCCCTTTTGCTTCTTATATATTCTCTAGTTCAGCCAGCTCCAGCATCATCCACTAGCATAACTTTGGGAATGCTGCCCATTCAGAGAATCTAGAGACTTTGCTACCTGAAAACATGCAAACGGAATCTGTTAAGTTAGTTGCCATCAAGTCATTTCTGACTCCTGGCATCCTCACCTGTGTCAAAGTGAAATTTTGTCCACTGGCTTTCCATGGCTGATTTGCCAGGTGGATAATGGCAGCCATTTCTGAGACACTTGTGAATATATTTAAACCTCTATTCTTTTAGTTGGCAGCCAAGGGCATTAGCTATTTGTTATATGGAAAAACACAAACAAACAAAAGCTTCACTGCCATTGAGTAGATTCCAACTCAAAATGAACTGATGGGACAGGGTAGAATTGTCTCTGTGAGTTTCTGAGGCTGCAAATCCTTATTGAAATAGAAGCCTCATCTTTCACCATAAAGTGGCTGCTGGTTTTGACTTCACAGCAAATCACAAAACTCACCATGACACCAGGGCTCTCGCTGTAAACCTCTATTGAAATAGAAAGCCTCATTATTTTCTCTCAGATTGGATGGTGGTTTCAAACTGCCAAACTTGCCATAGTCCAGCAGACAACCCACTATGACACCAGAGCTCCCTGTTGTTCAACTGACCAACCCCCCAAAGAGAAAAGTATTGCTGAAATGGACAAATATGAGGCTTAAGAAGACACAGTATAATGAGAGGGCTAATGTAGAGTGCAGCAGTTCAAACTGACAGTTCTGTTATCAGTAGACTTTCAGAGACAGCATACTGAAATTTCGAACAGGAATAGAACAAGGAATTCCAACCTGAACTTCTGCCAGTCCCATGTTAATATACTGCTTCAACCACTGCTGGATGATCTTTAGCAAACATTTACTTGCATGCCTTTATGAGTGATACTATTCCATAGTTTGAGCATTCTATTGGGCCACCTTTCTTTGAAATAGGCACACATATAGATTTCTTCCAGTCAGTTTGCCAAGTAACTAGCTTCCAAATTTCCTGGCAAAAATGAGTGAGTGCTTCCAGTGCTTCTTCCGGTTTCTGAAACATTTTAATGGGTATTCCATCAATTCATGATGCCTTGTTTTTGGCTAATCCATTTAGTGGGCTTTGAACTTTTTCCTTTCATATCATTAGTTCTTATTCATATGCTACCTCCTGAGAGGAGGTGTTCTACCTCCTTGTCTGGAAACAAATTGACAGACAAGTGGTGGTGCCAAGTATTAGGCACCCTTGAAGCAAGTCATCTGCTTGTTCTTACACGAAGGCATGCATTCATTAATCCAATGAAGTGTTTCCTTTCCTTTCATCTGCTCCAGGCGTGTTTAAGGTAAAAATCTAGTTCACTGGTGGGGTTTCCAAATCTTCGTCTGGAATGGCTTATGAAGGATGTTGTACACCTTGAAAGGTCAAGGTCTAAAGTCCCAGTTGTCTATAACATGTGGACTGGGTCTCCAATGGCTGGATAGAAACTCTGTTAAAAGTGCTTGACCAAGAACATGATCGAGAACATACTCTCGCATTGCGGGTCTGTATAAGTATGTTAAGTGTTTTTCCAACGGTAAATCGATGTACCCACAGAGTGCCCCTGCCACCTTTGTGTTTAAATTGTGATTATAGATCACTGAAGGTTGATTTGAGCTTACTGCTGATTTGGGGTAACTTTAGAACTATGTTTTGTGGCAGGAATGGGTTAGCCTTCACCACCTCTTTGCTTGAGAAATCAGATTAGAAGATTATTTTATTTGAGTACAGGAGTCTGCCTTTCTCTTGGTGTTTATTATTATACTATTGGTTGCATAGAATATTGTCCTTTTGTGGTTGGCTAATTTCACTCAGCATAATGGGATCCAGGTCTTTCCATGTCCTCAGGTGCTTCAAGGTTTCATCACTGTTTTTCTTCTAAGAATAGATAGAGTTTCATCATTTGCATGTACCAGAATTTCTTTATCTATTCTTCTACTGATGGCCATTTGAGCTGTTGCCTACTTCTTGCTATTGTAAACTATGTTGTGGTGAACATAGGAGCGCATATATCTTGGAAGTTGCTCGTGTTGGGACTCTTACTTCTTTGGGGAATTTATATGCCTAGTAGAAGTATTGCTGGGTTGTATG